GTGGTTACTAAACTATGCTGTGTTTTTATGTGTTTTATTTTTAGGAAAAACTGTTGTAATGTTGGACTCTGGTTTTAGTACAGTGTTTTCTGAGCACTTTTCATGTAGAATTTTGGAAGAAATTCCCAGATACGTCAAAAAAAGTCATGAGTTCTCTGCTTAACTGTGGTTTAGAAACTGAGCCTAAATTTCTGTTCTTAAAAATCAGGCAGCTGTTTTCTCCGAGTATTGATGACCAGACTTTAGCGTGGGCAGCAACCTTCTGCCACTTACCTTTTGGAGTCGATGACCTTGGAATCGTCCAGGGGAAAAATCCCAACCCCAAACCACAACACAAAACCCACCACCCACCCAAAAACAAAACCCCAGGAATACAGAACCTTAGTTAAGACTCGGCAAGCTGGTGTGTGACGGACTGTAACTGGGTTGTGGTTATTTGAAGGCTGAGCTACCAAACCTGGTGAAATAAGCACTCCTTGGACACCTAGCTGTGAGTTACCTGATGATTAAAAGATGTTTAACATATTAATTCTGACACACAAAGAACATGTGTGGTAACATCTGTCAGTTGACAGGTGGTAGTTTGTTACACCGCTCATATCTTATTTGCTTGTTTGTAGCCTTTTCCTCAAATACTGATTTACAAGTAACAGGTATCTAACAAGCTGCAGATTTAAGACAAAAAGATTAAAAGTTGTGTTACTTTTCCCGGTCTGATCTTCTGTTTCGTCAGAGCGCAAAGCCAGTCTGATTTAATTCAGTCCGCTTAGGCTATAGGTAAATGCATTATTAATGGTCCCTCTTCTGGTTTGACTGATAGCATGGAACCTGGTATATTGATGGGGCAGGGGCATCGGGTGTGTTGTAGTGACAGCGTGGGGGGAAGTGGCTGAACAAAGACATCAGGGCTGTTGTGGCTGCAGCTTGCACTTCGACAGGCACGTGAGGAAAAGTGGAAAATAAGACAATATTGGTCATAACGGTGGATGCTGCTGGTGGTGGGTTGCTCGCCTAACAGTTTTTATCAAGTTTTTTGGAAGCATCAGGGCTACGAAAAGCCTTTAAGGAAGAAGAGGAAGAACAGGATGAGAAAAGGCACAGAAGTGTTTGAAGTTTTAAAAAGAAAACGATTAAGTATTATGGCTCCAGTGGAATCACCGAGGAGCAGCTCTGTTGGCTTGGAAATAGTAGTAAAGAATCACACAAAATGTGTCCCTTAATACACTGAATTATTTTGAGAAGGTAGTTTGTCCGTGGTCCGAAGGAGAAATGGCCTGTGGTAGTACTCTTGCACACTCTTTTAACATTGATCCTGGCTCTTGACTTTATTTTTTTGCCCTGCAAATCTCCTGCTTGGTTACGGTTTTGGTTTTGAGGTTTTTTCCCCCAGTTTTTCACAACTTGCCTGGCTTTGCTTTTTGGTGAATGGAAACTAGTGTACCTGTAGAAAGCAGACTGGAGATACCGGATCTGAACTTCCATTTTACTTAAATCTGAAACACATTTCCCTTTTATAACGTTGGATCTCCTTCCTCCTGCTAGCCGCTGAAACCTCTCACCGTCAAGTGCAGCTGTGAATGGCCCAACTCTTGCATCCTGTGTAGCTGCAAAGCCTCTGTCCAGACGATAGATCCCGATACCATGTCCCTAGAAGAGCGCATAGCCCTCCTGGACTCTGGCTTCCACCCCATACTCTCCTTATCTCATGGTGAGTA